ACGTCAGCCCCTTAGTCTCAGGCACCAACACCCCCACAAACACAAACGCCACCACAGCCACACCCCCAAATATCAAGAAAGTGGGGCCCGTCCCCACAGCTTCCACCACCGAGAGAAAGCTCTGCGCAACCACAAGGTTCGATATCCAGTTCACAGTAGCCGACATACCCCCACAGACGCCTCTGTAGGCTTCCGGATATATTTCCGAGTTGATGGCCCACGGCACTGGGCCCATCCCAGGTGAAAAGAAGGCTATGTAAAGTCCTAAGCCCAAAACGGCAAGCCAGCCATAGTAGTGCGAGTGGGGCCCATCTCCTGATGGCTCGAGGATGAAAGCGGCAGCCAAGAGAACAAGAGAGATTATTACGCCACAGAGACTGCTGAGCGCCAGCTTTTTACGGCCCACATGGTCGATGAGGTAAATACCGAGGACTGTACCGAGTGCGTTCATGAAAGCTACTATGAGGGATAGGAGTAGAGCTAATTGGTTCGAGCGGAAACCCGCCATCTGGACGATTGTTGGGCTGTAGTACATGACTGTGTTGATGCCGGTAAGCTGCTGGAAAGCCTGCAAAAATATTCCCGACTCGAATAATTAAGGGCTTGATTGTTTACAAGTTAATTTTTTATTTCGTACTCAAAATTTAACTCAATTTTTACTCAAACCCCACTATCTTTAATATTATTCATAATTTCATATATTTAAATAATACAAACCAATCATTTTTAAACATCACATCAACGTTAATTCACTATTCATCCACCCACATAATTTTAACTACATATCATGTCCAATCATTTATCTCCTACTTTTACATCAAATCAATTTTAATCATTTTACTTTAAATAGTATTATAATACATTAAAATTCCACTAACAACTAACCATACCACATTTTCTAGAATTAACTATGGTCAACCAGAACACATTTTGAAAAGGATTATTTGATAAACAAGCGCACCCTAAATCACTGCACGGTTCCCACTTTCGTGACATTATGTGTTTCTTTCCTGTTACTTTCATTTGGGCACCAAACAGTTATATTTACCTGAATGCCAGCACCAGCCAGAAAAGCGAGCCTCAACTCTTTTGATCTGAAGACGTCAGAGTAGCTGACACGAGTGTCTCTCTGACGCTCTTCCTCGAGAGCTGTTGCCAGCTGGTCGATCTCATCTTGCAACCTTATCGGGTCGTAAATTTTCGAAAGCACAACAATGGCTTCTGTTTTGTCTTCCTGTGTGTTGATCACGAGAGTAAAGAAGAAGGTAAACGAACTGTTGAAAGAGGTTCTCCAGAAACAAGCTTATAGTAGAAAAGGATGAATTGTACCTTCATGTACAACCAACGAGGAGACTCGGGCAAAAATAGCATGAGAAAAAATTGAAGAATAGCGGGCACTGCGGCTATACCAAGCATCCAACGCCATGTGCCAGGAACCTGAATTACCATGAACACAATTTCTCACAACAATTCTAGCAGATATGTATTGTATCTAACAAAACATTCAAACGACAAGATACTGATTCAAGGAATAAATTACATAATAAATTATGAGTTTCTAGTTAATGTTACCCATCATATTGTTTACCTGTTATAAATTACACCTAAGCAAGGGGGTTAGGGAGAGGGTGCATCTACGTACTATTTCTCATGTTAAACTTAGAAATATGCACACGACATGTGAAATATTTACCAAGTTCAGTCCATAGGAAGCTCATAATATTACAAACTCGCACGTACTATAACACACAAGAAAAAAAAAAAAAATATTAGGTACAACCAAAAAACTAATTGCATCTTTCATTTCAATGAGCTAGAGTCAATTGACAAATTAAAGATGACTTCATCTAATAGAATGTGTCAGCAAGTACCAGATATATTAACCATCAACCATTTTCAGTTGGTGGAACATCAATAGCCACTTGCAGTTTGCTACTTCAGAATTCTGCAACAAAACCAATAAATGTTGCTGCTACATAATAAAAGCTTCTAATTTTTTTCTTTAATTTCTTCTTCCGGAAAAAGGGAGTAGGAGGTAAGGGGAGAGGCATTGTAAGGGATGCGGACAGAAACCACATAAACATAATCACCCACGATCAAAGTAATGAACTTACTCTATTCTTTTTAAAATCAAAGCTGCCTGTACGGGGTTAGGCAAGACCCCAACCTGTTTAATGTGAAATAGATGACTGGATAAATGAATGATTAATAGAGTGTGTGTGTGTGTGTGTGTGTGTATAATATCACTCCCTTAGAGCACTGAATAAACCATCTGACTATGATCTCAAATAAGGAGCAAGCAAGCTCATCTAGTAGTCTACATGTAGCAATAGATAGGAAAAATGATCTTTTTACACATTAAAGGCTTTAGGGGGCTATTGGAAACCGATCTTTTTACACATTTCCAAATCCAACTTGACTCTCCTACTTTTCATCAATATACTTAAATAATATCAATCGACCATTCTCACGCATCACATCAACAAAATTCAACATTCATCTACTCACATAATTTTGACATTTCATTTCCAAACGCCTCGCTCATACTTTTACACCACATTAACTTTAATCATTATATTTTAAATATTATTTAAAACTAAATACAAACTCAAAATCTCATTAAATCCCTTACTCAATCAACTTTATTTCCAATCACTTGCAGTCCAATTTCCATAAATTCATATCCCACATATAGGTGATGTTTTTTCTAAAATAAATTCGATATAGAAAAGTGAAAGAACTTGCAATAAAAACCTCCTAGTTGTTCAGACACCAACTGCAAGTGGTTAAACAAAACTTATTCCAGTTACAGAAATTTTGTAAAGCTCATATTAGTTTATTACAGTAGCCGATGAAAAAAGTAAAGGAAAAAAAAATGACAACCCTACTAAATGTTTACTATTGATACACCAAGAGTATCTATTTAAGAGAAAGATCAGTAAAAGAAAATGACTAGTGCAACTTAATCTGACCTCAGTAAAGGCAAGGTTGACAAGGTAAGAAAGGAACTGTCCACCAGTGATCATAAGCACATTTGTACTCACTAGGCCACCCCTGACTTCTGATGGGGAAGCCTCCGCAATATACACAGGAGCAGTCACAGATGCTACACCAACGCCAAGGCCAACCAAGAGTCGACCAAAAATTAGTACGTATGGATTTGGGGCTGCTGCCATGAAAATGGATCCAATTGTGAACACAACATCTGCAGAGAGGGTAGCTTTCTTACGCCCAAAAACGTCATTGATCCAGCCCCCTACTGAAGCTCCAATCATGGCCCCAACTAGAGCCATGCTCACAATTGTTTCCTAGAAAAATTGTTGAGTTAAAATCATGATGTCACAATAGGTAGAAAGATGAGTTCATTCTTGGGGGACAATATTAACATACTATAAGTTATTCGGCTATACAATGTGGAGAAATAGACGGTAAAAGATCCCACTTTAGATAAATTTCGAGTTTTTCATTTATAAAAAAAAAAAGTGTAGGTAACATACAACCAACTTTTTCACATAGGAAATCATAATGGACAATTTGGAACTTGGATGTAAAGAATTGGGAGTAAAGTTGAGGATAGTTTCATCAACTTAAAATACAAGAGCTTAGCCTTCCAACTCTGGATATTACAAGTGGAAAAAAAATTCACCCTTATGCAGTGATGATAAGTGACCTTCAGAATACGCTTCTGCGTACAGAAGAAATGTTAACCAAGGTAAACTAAAGCCACTCACCTGTAGAAAGTTACTCTGATTAACTACCTCAAAATCATCCCGTATATACAGAAGTGCTCCTGATATAACACCTATAACAAATCAGAGACATCAGAAAGATGTGAGGAAGTGACTCGACGATGAATAAAACTAATATGCAAAAAAAGATGGCTACT